CCCCCCGCCTCGCCTCGCCCCGCCCCAGAGCACGGGGGAGCTCACCCGGATCCCCCCGCCTCGCCCCGCCCCAGAGCACGGGGGAGGTTACCCGGATCACAGAATCATAAATAATAAATAAATTAATGGAGATGTCCTATCTCCTAGAACTGGAAGGGACCTTGAAAGGTCATCAAGTCCAGCCCCCTGCCTTCACTAGCAGGACCAAATACTGATTTTGCCCCAGATCCCTAAGCGGCCCCCTCAAGGATTGAACTCACAACCCTGGGTTTAGCAGGCCAATGCTCAAACCACTGAGCTATCCCATAGACTATCAGAGTTGGAAGGGACCTCAGGAGGTCATCTAGTCCAACCCCCTGCTCAAAGCAGGACCAACTGCAACTAAATCATCCCAGACAGGGCTTTGTCAAGCCTGACCTTAAAAACCTCTAAGGAAGGAGATTCCATCACCTCCCTAGGGAACCCATTCCAGTGCTTCACCACCCTCCCAGTGAAATAGTGTTTCCTAATATCCAACCTAAACCTCCCCCACTGCAACTTGAGACCATTACTCCTTGTTCTGTCATCAGGTACCACTGAGAACAGTCTAGATCCAGCCTCTTTGGAACCCCCTTTCAGGTAGTTGAAAGCAGCTATCAAATCCCCCCTCACTCTTCTCTTCTGCAGACTAAACAATCCCAGTTCCCTCAGCCTCTCCTCATAAGTCATGTGCTCCAGACCCCTAATCATTTTTGTTGCCCTCTGCTGGACTCTTTCCAATTTTTCCACATCCTTCTTGTAGTGTGGGGCCCAAAACTGGACACAGTATTCCAGATAAGGCCTCACCAATGTCGAATAGAGGGGAACGATCACGTTCCTTGATCTGCTGGCAATGCCCCTATTTATACAGCCCAGAATGCCGTTAGCCTTCTTGGCAACAAGGGCACACTGTCGACTCATATCCAGCTTCTCGTCCACTGTAACCCCTAGGTCCTTTTCTGCAGAACTGCTGTCTAGCTACTTGGTCCCTAGTCTGTAGCAGTGCATGGGATTCTTCCGTCCTAAGTGCAGGACTCGCACTTGTCCTTGTTGAACCTCATCAGGTTTCTTTTGGCCCAATCCTCTAATTTGTCTAGGAATGATCCCCCAGCGCACCCAGCCCAAGAGCATGGAGGAGCTCGCCCGGATCATCGCACCACAGAGTGTGGGGTACTTTCCCAGACCCCCCCCCCACCTGCCCTGCCCCAGAGCACAGGGTGGGCTCACCAGATCTCACTGCCCTGTTCCCAAAGCGTGGGGGGCTCACCTGGATCCCCTGGGAATCTGCAGCCGGGGCTCTGTGCGTCCCAGATTCCACAAAGAGATTGAGAGCTGCCCAGCCGATCAGGACGAGCTTGGAACTGAACCGATCCAGGGAGTAGAGCTGTAAGAATCAAAGGCAGCTCGGTGTTGAGTCAGAGCCCCCCCGGGAGACCCTGCACCTGCACTTAGACACAGCTGGGCCAGCACCTTGCACAAACTCAGTACAGTCCCGTCACTCGCAGGGGAAGAGCAACTCTCCTCTCCTGCCCCACACAGCAAGGGCTTGTGGAGATCCTGCCAGCCGGGGAGATGACATCTGTCATCTGCCTGGCCGCAGCACAGACCTTTAGCAAGAGCGTAGCGGAGGGCGGCACTGGTGGATTCCGGATCTCCACGCGATAGTTGTAGAGTGGCTCGAAGATATTGCTGCTCAAATCAATGGCGGTGGAAATGTCTGGACCAACTCTGAAAGGAAAAGGCAGGGGAGAGAACATAAACCAAAGATCAATGTCTCCCGGGAGAGACGTTTGGGGCTGTTCCACTGTTCTCCGAGCTCAGACCGGGGATGGGGTCTCGACATGCTGCACTAGGATCACTTCAACCCTTGTGTATTCGGGACTGAGATCCATCGCGCACCGGTTAGACAAGCCACCCTGCGCCTGCTGAGCGGAGTGGGAGCAGCATGTCTCTGTGCAGGGCTAGCACGCACCATGGGGTCCCCAGAAGTCTCCACTTCATGATCCAGCATTTGCAAGGTCAGGAATTCACAGTGATGAAGGTACGAGACCCTCATGTCTACACAGGGCAGAGGTAAACGTGGATCTGCACGTGCACTAAGGTACACGCATTTTCATTACCATTCCTGGCCCGCCTGCACCTCCCCAGGCCCTGGTTCTGATCCAGAGCACATGGCTTGTCATTGCCCCGCTGGACCCAACAGCTCTAGACGACACATTGAGAGAGAAGAGGAAGCCCCGCCCTCCTGGTGACAGCCCATAAATCGCTCCTCCTTACTGGTGGTAGTGGCTGTCAAAGATCCGGCCAGCGACCCTAGTGACGGTGACGGCATCGGGCAGGAACCGGGCCCCGTCGATGTACAGGTCGAAGCCGTCTGTGGCGCTGAAGGGCTCCGAGGCGGGCGTCTCCCTGGTGTGATGGATGAACGCCGCCTGCAAAGACAGCGCCGGATCTTACTGCAGAGCAGTGTTGACCGCCAGCTGGGGCGTGGGGGTCGGGCCCGTTCTTCGGGCAAGGAATGAGATGGGGCCCGTCACTGCTGACTACAAGATCCTGCCTCTCGGCAGGGGGTTAGACGAGATGACCCTTCTGGGGTTCTACAGTTCTATGAGGACAGGTGGGGGTGCTCCGAGCCCCAAATCTCCTGCGTGTGGGCGCTACACAAAGTGAAACACGGGGCAGCATCAGGGGGCACTGTAGTAAAGGCTGCGCTGGCCCACAGGAGAGAGGGGGACATGCATCCCACTTCCCTCCTTCCCTGGCTGAACTGAGGGGACCCCCAGAGGAGTCAGGACAGAGGGACGCCCCGCCCAGGGCTGAGCATGCCGGCTCCAATGCAGATCCCAGCAGGGCAGCATGTTTCCCTATTATTAGGGCCCACTCCAGCCCTGTTCGTAAGTGACTGCTTCATTCCCAGTGCGCCTGCCTACCCCCGCTATGGGCCAGGGGGTTGCTGGTTCAGGGCTGAAAGCGCCTTTCCCTCAGAGCCAAGCCCTTGGGAAAACGGGGCAGCCCAAGTCCGGAGGCGTATCAGAAGCCAGTGGGCTGAAGGCTGCTGGTTGGCTGCTACGTGCTGAGCCCCCAGTGGTCTCTCTCCCGCTCAGCGGACTGCGGGTGCGGCAGTGACACACTCAGAACGTGGGAGTCTCAGACCAGGTCAGGAGAGAGACATCTAACGCCAGGATAACTCCAGCAATCATGCCAAGGGCAAGACTCTGCCTGTCTCTCAGGCCTGGCCCTGCCCTGAACCCCTCTGTGGGCAGGTGAGACCCAGCCCTCCTGCTTTGCTTGGAGATCCCAGGACCTGGGCACTGGGGCACTCACCCAGGGCCAGTCCTGCGGCTGGCTGAGAGGGACTGGCGACTCGGGTGGGAAAGGCTGCTCCGGCTTCTTGTCGCTGAACAGGTGCAGCCTCACGCTGGCACTGCCGTATGGTTCGAAGCCCTTGTGCTGCCGCTCCTCGGGCTGAGACGGGCACCACGCCGCACCCACGGAGACAAGGCGGGGGGGGGGATGACGTCAGTCAGGGTGCGATGCTGGCTGTGCCCTGAGAGGTGGGGTCTGTGCTGGCGCTGAGCAAGGGAATCAGGTTGGTCCTGCCTCCCGTGAACAGGAGCCCTCCAGCCATTCTTCCGCTAGCTCCTTCCACAAACACGCCGAGCCAGGTCCTGAGCCCCTGCCGTGTCCCTGTGGAGCGGTGGCTGGGACTAGCCCTGGGCAAACCCCCTCTCCTCTCACCATCAGAGCCTGGCACAAACCTTCCTACGTTTGCACAGACTCAGACCCAGCCAGTCAGACCATGAGCTTTCCCACATCCGGGTTACACGGGAACTGGCCCCCAACGAGGGGGGATGATGGAATCTACTATGGGGAGCTTATGAGGGTCAACCCGTGCGGGAGACAGAAATCCAGGACATCATAAAGAAATAAACTTCCAGGCCGTATTTCCAACACTGTTCCTGTTCTCTCAACTCCCTGCTTAACTAACCCTCCAAAATGCCAAAAGGTGATGCTGTAAGCCAAGGCATTGCAACATCTCTGTGCTGATGTCCTCAGAAGAGCTGGGAGCAGCATTGCCTAGGCCTACAGCCAAAAAAGACATTTCTCTGTTTGTTTCCACGCCATGGCGTTTGCTCCCCAACAACCACCAGGAACAACCTGGAAACTGTTCTCCTGGCAAATTTCAACCCTGAACGGGATGGAATGGAAAACTGGAGAAATGCATTAATTCACGGTGCTTAGAACTGCCTGCTCAAGGGGCCTGGATTCGGATCAACAACATAATGGAAAAAACATCAGGGAATCAAGGAGGGAACATTTTGGTGCCAGGCGAAAGCCTCCACACACCTGCTGCGCTTTCCCACGGCAGTAACCAGTGTGGTGGTGCAGAACGTGCATTGCCCATGGAGGTCCCATAGGCATCACTTTATATATCCCCTATAGACTGACACTGTTCACAAAGGCCCTGCTCATGCAGTCCTTACTCAAGCAAGTCAATGAGAGTCAATTGCCAGAATGAGGACGTCAGGATCAGGCCCTCAGCTGCCTGCCTTGTTTGTCCCATTATTACCCTCCAATGGGGTTAACCCCAGGGCCATCATGTCGGCGTCTGTTGGCCCAGTGACGGGGACAGACTTACCAGGACTGAGAGCGTATGGGCAGGAGGCACAGGGCCATGATACAGGGTCAAATCGTGGGGCCCCGTGTTCCAGGTCACTGCTCCTAGGCCCCCCTTCGTCGCCACATCTGTAAGGACAGGATGTAAAGAAACTAACTTCACTGTCTCTCGCTGGGAACAGAGCCCCCAAGCCTCAGGCTGTCTGGGACACCATCTGCATGGACGGCTTACCGGATCCAGCAGGCTTGGTCAGTCTGAGGATGGCCCAGGCAGCCAACCACGCATCAGTTCCCAGCAGCAGCTGCTGCCCGCCCGACCCCTGGTCCCACGGGGTGGTGGCCACCCCTCCACTGGGCCAGTGGTAAAAGCGGACAATCAGGATCATGTCCTCCTGCGGCAGCAGGTCCAGGAAATTCACCTGGGGGAGAGAGAGAGGGGCTGCATTTACAGAAACCTCCCTTGAACGGGCCAAGGGGTCTGTGCCCGTCTAGCTTACACAGCCGTGTCTGAGCGCCACACAATCACTAATGGACTTCCCCTCACACGCCCCTGCAAGGCAGGGCAGGGCGGCTCCTGACCCACAGAGAGAGTAAGGGTCTGGCCCAGGGTCATGCAGGGAGTCCATGGCAGAGGCAGGATTTGAACCCAGAGCTCCCGAGCCCCAGGCTGGTGTCTTAACCACAGAGCCATGCCCCCTCCCTAGCCACTGCCCCGTCCGCGCTCCTCACCCAGGAGCTGGTGTTCTCCAGCCTTCCCAAAGAGGAAGCACGCCTCCTGGCTCAGCTTCCTCGCCAGCCATGGCTTTCAGAACGCTCCCTTCTGCAGGCTACCGGGGAAGTCTCTGCCCCCCACCCGCCGCCCTGCTCACTGAAACGTCCCAGGGGCGTGCTGGGCTCTGCATGGCCCTCATGCCTCAGAGGGAGGGACCTGCCACCTTCCTGCTTGTGCCCTGCTGGGCCTAGAGGAGGGCAATGCGATGTCACGGCCCCCATGGCACAGCGACCAAACCTCCCGCCGCCAGGGTTCTAGCTGGGGAGAAGGGTGTTCCACATGCCAGGGCCCACCGTGTGGGTACCACCCAGAAGGAACGGGCTTGTGGGCAGAGGAAGCAGACGTCTGTCCCCCTGTTGCAAATACACCCCAGCCTCCTGCAGGAACCAGACCTCAGGACCAGGTGTTGTATTTTTTGTTCGTCATTAGACCTAATAACTCCAGTGCGCACGGCTGGGCATCTCTGCACCGTGTGTCGGAGATCGTGCGGTGTGCTACGGGGCACTAAGGGGAGACTGCAAGCAGCCTGGGGTTTATGGACACGATGGAATAGGCAACGGAAGAACAGGGCAAAATTGCCAGTGGTCTGGCAGGGTTAGGCATTAGGGGACTGTGGGTGTGCTGTGAGCAGACCAGGGCAATGGGTCAGACAGGTGCATTGTGGGTACTGGGCAGGGGGAATTATGGGTGTACCGTGAGCAGGCCGGGGCAATGGGTCAGACAGGTGCATTGTGGGTACCGGGCAGGGGGAATTATGGGTGTACCGTGAGCAGGCCGGGGCAGCGATCAATATGTGCACGTTTCCTTTTGCTGGCTACACCCGTCGGGGTGCCGTCCCATGGAACAGGCTGCCCCTGTGCAGTTCAGACGGAGCTCAGGCTCCCAGACACCCACACGCTGGGGCTGACTGCTGCGGTCAGAGAAGGCCAACAGAGTTGTACCGAACTCTCCCCAGCTGCTCTTCAGCTTGTGGGGGGGTCATTTTGACTTGTGTCACTGATTCTGGACTCAGCGGCTTGGACCCATCTGGACTAGGGCTCCCCTGCTCTCTCTCTGTGGCCAAGGACTCAGGGCAACCTTGTGAAATCCTCAGTTTGGGGAACCCCCCCCGTTAAGTGACACCCCAAAGTTCTGTCAAGCTACCTCCTGCTCCCCGAATATGAAGTAGCCGAGTTTAATGTTGGATCTCACAGGGGTCGCGTAGCAAGTCATCCCGGAGTTCCTGGTGCTGATCACCTGGACAGACAGAGACAGACACACAAACCTATTAACAAGGGGAAGCCGTAAAGTCCTGAGTGACGCTCCAGACTGTGGAGCAGGTTTTCATTGCAGAGCAGCAACAGGGAGTGATTAAGCAATTGCTCCCTGCAAGTGATCTGCTCCCACCTGAATGGTGGAGGGGCCAGAGCAGGGATGAAATGGGCCTGGAGCCCAACAGGCCGGGGTTGTGGGGGTGGAACTGCTGTCCCTTCTATACGCTATGGTGGCAAATGGGCCCCTCTCCCCTCTTAGGAAAGCCTAGAGCTAGCAAAGTGCGGGGTGCCCCTGAACGGCCCCATCTGATGTGGAAATAATCCCTCTCTTCAGCACCTTCTTCTCTAGCCCCGGCCCAGGGACTGGGGGTGCTGTCGATACATTCAGACTCTCCATTCCCCAAGCACACAGCGTCGGCTCCCGGTGGGAGTCCTTCACCAGCTGCTCCTGGGGGTTGGGGATCCGGCAGCTGGTGCATTCATCCTGGCAGTGACCATGTTCAGATGCAGAGGTGAGTCCTACCTGCCCCGTTTTCTGGTGATAGCCGGTCAGCCTGAGGACCCCGTCTCCCAGCGGGGCGCCTTTCACCCGGTCTATGATGAACCCCAACCTCTTCCCCGCATCGTCGTCATTCCTGGGCTCTCCCTGCTGGGGCTGCACCCTGCGTTCCTGGGCCTCCGTCAGCTTCCCGCCCCGAAGGGCTGCTCCACCACGCCTGGAAGGGTTCGGCCTGATTACTGATTGCTGCGTGCTGGGCCCTGCAGCAGCCTCGCGAGGGGAGGGTTGGCTCAGCAGCGGGGCTTGGGGGAGACCCTCCAAGAGCCAGGAGGGCACAGATGGAGCAGAGGCCTAGTGGTGAAAGGCCCCAGCCCCCTTCCCTGTCTCACTTCAGGGCCTGGAGAGCTCAGTGGCCCCTCTCCCACGGCCTTATGCTCTGGGCCACCTCCCCTTACCCAAACGGGACGGGCACAGGCCAGTGCGAGAGACGCCGGCCTCGTGGCCCACAGCTGCGCGACCTGGGTCCTGCGAACGCCAAACCAGGGGAAAGGGCGGCCAGCAGCCAGACTCCTCGTCATCCCTTCCAGGGCTGTATTTGGGGGGCACCTGGTGTCACCTGTCGAACAACAGGGGCAGGTTGAGCAGCCGCAGCCCCACAGAACGACCAGGCTACAGCATGGCCCGTTACTGTCCCCGGCCCCACAGCACGGAGAAAGACAGGCGGCCAACGGGAAGAACCAAACAATCCAACAGTCTTTACCTGCGAGGGCCTTGGAGTGGTCTGTGATCCCTGAGCTTCTGGGTTCCTGCCAGGACCCAAAAGTGAGGCAGGGGGGAGGAGGAGGAAAGGGGGATGGAAGAAGGGAGCATCTGAGCTGGCTGCAGTACAGTGCCCAGGATATGCGGGGCCCGCAGGGTGTGTGCTGCCGTCAGGGCGCCTGGCGCTGTCCTGTGCTTCCCTCCCTGAGTCAGCAGCTCGTAGGTGGTGGCGGGGACGTTAAAGAGCAAGCCAGGGATGTGCTGCTGGCACGGCATGGCCCATCGGGACAGCACTGACCCCTTGGCCTGCTGAGGGCCAGCGCTAAGGGGCAGACTCGGAACGAGGGATATGCAGGCTGCTCTGCAGAATACAGGGCTCACTGAATTAGCATCGGCCACGTTTCCGGCATCATCGCGTGGTGGCTATTTATACAGCCCCTTCCATCCCAGGCAGGGCAGAAGGGTAACCGGGAGGTCCCTTACGGAGCCAGGACAGGGCTGCCCCCGCCAGTGTAGGTGGGAAGGACCAGGGCAGCTAATGAGACCCAGCCCACGTGTGCTTGGAAGGACAGGGCACTAGCTGCTAAGCTACAAAGATGACCTGGGAGATGGCACGCAGCAAAGGTGGGGATGCTTAGATCAGGGACAGGGTCACCCCGAGCGGAGAGCCCAGGGAGGAGAAATTAGCAGGTCAGCGTCAGACAGAGAGAGACCCCGGAGAATCAGAGACAGCTTTTGTTAAGCAGTGACAGCCGGGGCCAAAACCACCGAAGGTGAGAAAGAGGAGCTGGACTCTCCCCAGGCTGGGATCCCACAAACCCGGGACCCCTTGTTGCTGGTGTTATTCACACGCCCATCAGAACATGCCTGGAGGCCCACATGGAAAATCTACGCACACAGCCAATGGGTAGGGTCTATCCTAACCTAATGTCAGAGTGACCCCCAAAATACCAAGCCCTTCAGCGCCGCTATCCCCAGGAGAGCGCCTTGGGGGCGTCTCCGTGTGCTGGGAAGGCCAAGGAACCGGAGCACTGTCAGAGCAAGCGAGGGAAGCAAATTCCAAAGCGTGGCTGGGGGGAGGCTCTACCCCACCAGAGGAAAACGCACGGCTGTGCAGAGCCAGGAGCTACGCAGACTGATCTTTAACACCAGCGGAGGATCTTGCTGCTGATGTTTACTGCTCAGAACAGAAAAGCAGTCCGAACTTGGGATAAAAAACAGTCTGCAGGATTTGCAAGCTGGTAATGAATCTGCGGGTCCTTTAAGCATGGCTGCTAGGGTTACCATACGTCCTCTTTTTCCCGGACATGTCCGGCTTTTCGGCAGTCAAACCCCCGTCCGGGGGGAATTGCCAAAAAAGCCGAACATGTCC